TGTGTGTGTGTGTGTGTGTGTGTGTGTGTGTGTGTGTTTGTGTGTTTGTGTGTTTGCAGGCGTGACAGGGTGTGGAGGAGTCATGGAGGTTGTGGGGGGTTTTGTCCGCAGTGTGGCTCTGATATATCAGAAGTGCTCAGAGTCACGATCGTTACATAAACTGGCCTCTCCTCCTTCTTCTATCGTTCCTTCACTCTCTCTCTCTCTCAAACACACACACACACACACACACACACACACACACACACACACACACACACACACACACACACACACACACACACACACACACACACACACACACACACATTCCCAAACAGACACTGACAAACACACACCCAAACAGACACACACACACACACACACACACACACACACACACACACACACACACACACACACACACACACACACACACACACACACACACACACACACACACACACACAAAGCTTTCTATTTTCTAGTCTGTGTTCAGCCTCTAACTCCCACATGTCACGTTATAATTAAAGTGAATTAAGGTCATCCCAATAAACGTACACAAGGCCGCTAATATGAATTTTAAATGGAAAAAAAAGGATTCATGTTTACAAACGCAATTATGTGTTTTCATGGTGGACTGAATGGAAAAGACTTCATAATGCTGTGATTCATAATCACAAACATAATCGTCACTGACAGATGTTTTTTTATCCTGCAAAGAGCATCTTGCCTCCACAAAACAGCCTTTGAGGGGGCGGTGCAAACCCTCAATATGTTCTGGAAGTGAGCATGCCAATGTACCCTTGTGCAATAAAAAATGCACTTATACAAAAATATTTCATATAAATAAGAGAGTATTAAGTTAGCTCTTCTTTTGTTAACGTTTATTTTCCACAAATGTCTCTTTTAAAACACATCAGTTTCAGAAGGGACTACCAAAGATGTAAAAGATAGTTAACAAGAATAATGGTAAAGTAATTTAAAAAAAATAAGACATTATCTAATCGTTTAATTATTCATAAACACTAAACATGTTTGACCCTATCCAACATTTCCCCCCTTCCTTCCCCTCCCCATCAGTGGGAAATCACAGTCTGCTCATTCCTCCACAAAATGGAGGCTGCCTGGCATCACGCGTGTCAGTCCCAGAGTGCTTGTAGCCTATTAGTTCCCCCTGCGCCTCATCACTGCTGGATGACAAGCACAACAAGCAGAGGGCTGCGAGCGTCATGCACGGACAGCGACACAATGTCACGTCTTGCCTCCTGGGAGGGATGGACGTCAATGTGTGTGTGTTGGAGAGGAGAGAGACTTGGTGGGGGTTTATTTGAGTTTGTGACCGTATGTGCATGTTTGTGTGGGTGGGGATGTGTGTGTGTGTGTGTGTGTGTGTGTGTGTGTGTGTGTGTGTGTGTGTGTGTGTGTGTGTGTGTGTGTGTGTGTGTGTGTGTGTCTTACCAGTGGGTATGTAACCGTGTGTGTGTGCGAGAGGGTGAGCTGACCCAGATCTGCTTATTAGCATCAGGAGGAGGGGGCCGGCAGTCACTTAGAGCTTTGTGCCTGAGCAGTGAACTGTGCTCGTGCTTCAGTGACACACCATCAAGCTTCATACAGTAACACCCCTCCCACACACTTCCCTTCCTTCATCCCTTTCATCCTCTGCTCCCAAATGTGTGTGCTACCCAGGAAATAAACCCCACCGGAAAACACACTTTAGCACTCATCACTTGCATTTTCTTAAGGCCAATATAGTGTCAAAGTAAAACAATGGCAATATTAGACATCATTAATTTAAAAATGTAATTATTCCTAAGAGAAGGAATTAAATGTATCCAAATGTGTAATTCAGTTGGGGCATTCCCACTAAATGTATATATAGCAGTAGACTGAGTGAAATGTTCAAACGGGAGAAGCTATGAAATATGACTGCACTCTCCAGCACTATATTTTTATACATAAATGCCTGACCTTTTTGTCACATCTGAGGTTTTGATAAGTATTAAAATGTGCTGTGGGGTGGACAGCAGATTCTCTAAAAACACTGAAAATTCACTTAAATGAAATATTGTATGTCAACAGATTTCACATTACTTGGGTTAGTTGAAAGCAATAGTATTAGGTTTAAATACAAAATATTAGGTTCAACTCAATATTATTGCCAAATACAGTTATGAGAAATGTGTTGACATAATACATATAATTAAAAGTCAACATTTCAGTTTTCTCAGTGTAAAGATGGATGTGGCAGCATTAAAGGGCTCTAACAATCAGTAATTTCAAATTTGCTTTTACGATTTGCACTGGTCAGCACATATAAAACATAAAACAAGGCAAGAACAAATTCAGCCAATCATTGAAATAGGATGAAAACTGCTATGATAAACGAAATGTCAAATATTCTGGAAGAACAGCAGGCAGCAGTATTTGTGTAGCCTGTTTGGTACATTTGTTAGCTTACTGTAGCCAAATAAACTAAAGCTACTCTTGAACCATTAGAGCATTGTTAATTGCTTTAGATCATGCAGTTCAGGATAACCTAAATCAGAGTGTGAGATTTCCCACACGAGCAGAGTATTGAGGGAATGGTCTGAGTTTTCACAGACTGGGGTATGTGTACAGTAGCTAACATGTGCAGGTGTCCCACATCACCAGCTGAGGTTTCACTCGGTCAGCTGAGAGTAACAGGAGGGCAGACGGAGAGGAATCAGGGATCTCAGGGCCTGAGGGGAAATGTCTGTTCACATGGTTTCAATCTGGCTTCAAAATGTTCTCCTACATTTCTATCATATTTTTCAGTTCACCCAACATTTGATGATAAGAGAATGGCAGTGAAACATCCCTTTTTGATTGCATATTCACCAGAAATGGCTCTGAAAAATATGTTTAACATTTCTACATTATTTATTAAAGATTGAGATTTTTGGCTCTCTCCACTAAAGAAATTAAAATGCACAGCATGAGTTCCATCCGACTGGGCAACAATAGTCAATCTAAAAAAGGTAATCTAAAATCTAGTATTGCAGTTTCCTAGCATGTTTAAATACGAAAAAGAAGATTTTAAATGTGATGCTTATACAGATCCTGACCGAAAAAATAAATAGGCCTTTCCTTGAAATATACTACAATGAAACAATGTGTCTTAAAGGTCCCATGACATGCTTTTTCTGGTTATTACCCGTCCCCTTGTGTGTTATGTAGCTTTTTATGCATGTAAACGGTCTGCAAAGTCACAAACCCTCAAAGTACTGTAGCGAGTAAAACTCTAACACAGAAAAGACCTGTCTATGCTGCCCCAGAAAGCCTCATTGGAGATTTTCTTTTTCCCTCACACACACACTCAGCCTTATCTAAACACACAGGGTGTTTCTCAATCGCGAGTAAAGCTCCAACAAACCGTTTAGGACAGAGTGAATACCCATGGTGAATACACATACTATACAGAGATGCTGTATGAGAAACCAATGTGAGTTTGGAAAATTGCACAATATAAATCTATTCTAGTATACCTTAACAATGGAATTATGATCAGTAGAAATGGCCATGACATGGGACATTTAATTCAGAGTGGCTTGGGCTCAAAGAGTGTAGTACGCCATCTGGTGGTAGAATATCGAAACACATTTCACAACTTTGAATATGTAAATGCTTAGAAATACGACAATAACACACACAAGACATTCGTATACTGCCTAAAAAGTGTGTTTAGTTGTAAAGAAGAAGAAAAAACATACGAATGTATATGTGCCACACTTTGAAACAAGCAAAAACATCACTATTGTTGTCCTCGTTTATATTACATTCATCAACACATTTATACTCTGATATTTTTCTTTATATTGCTGTAGATTTTGCAAGCGGATTCACTGGCTGTATGTTGAAATAGTGTATTTAAAATCAACTGGGAACTATCAGTGGGTGACA